CAATATCCGAAAGCTCACTCAGTTATCAATTAATTCGAATTTGAATCGGACAGGGTCCAACGGGCATCAAAGTTCTTACTCACAGGTTTTAATGAAACTGCATTTCTAAAACTTGAAATCAAAACTTCTGATTAAACTGAAAAAGTTCCTTTACAATTTATCCATCCGCTCGTGGATTCAAAATTATATTTGTGGTGATCTTTTGTGATGGAATCTAAAATATATTTTGAAGTAGTTTCAAAATGTAGAAAAGTTTTGTTAAGGGTATCTTCACAATTCAAAGAAAAAAATAAGTACCATATAACTGATTTGGTGACGATATATGATTGGGTGCATTTATTTATTTAGTGACATACTATTGTAAATTTATAAATTTATGTAGTATTTTAATTTAAGGTTAAATCTAGTAATAAGTAAAAGTTACATTATAAGCTAGATTTAAGATTTAAGCCTTAAAATCATCACATGAAAAAAAATTTAATTTTTTAAAATACATCTAACTTATGCACAAGGTGTACCTGCGAAAGCTAAATTATTAACATCTTAACTATAAAAAAAAAAAATGGCATTATTATAACTATAATACTGTTGACAGGGTCTCATAAAAGCCTTTTTGTTCTATTTTGGGAATTTTTCCTTCTTTTTTTTTTTTTATAAAATTATAGTGTAGTTAGTAAGGGAATTTACTATTTATCTTATTGTCCAAGATTTAATTTCATGTGAAAATTAATGAGAATGTAAATCTTTATGAATTTTCTATTTTGAACCTGCTCTCATCTCTTAAAAAAAAAAACTTGTTTTTAAGTTATATAAGAGGCTTAATTACGAGCTTATCATACTGCATCTACATTGTTTAAACTTGCTTAATTGATATTAAGTAGGAAAATAATTAATAAACCTTTTAGTTCAATACATTTTACAATACTAACAAGTTTAACCATTAAAATTTATAAATTTTAATTTTTTTATTTTTAATTTAAATTTAAAAATAATAATTTTTTTAATAAATATATTATAAATATGTTAAACCCAAATATATATCAATTATTATCTCATTAATTAAATTCACACTTCTTTTTTTGGATCATGAAATGAACATTAAGATACGCAAATTGTTCATAGATTAGCTGGCCAAATCTCATGGAATGCGGCAAGCTCACACGCTTTCCACAAAAGAGTAGTAGCTGACAACAATAGCTAATCATCCCTTCCTCTTTATCCATTACACACGCAATTTCAGTTCATGACTAAATAACCCCCAACTTTAAATTAGCTTAATTTGGCCTCTTCCGAAAGCTCCATTCCCTTGAGAAAAATCTAAAGTGCATGCCCAGAAGAAATCAAAAATCATTTAGTGAAAACCTAGGACATGTAGCAGTGACTACAATGATAGGGTGTATCTTGGATCATAAATGTTACCATGATTTAAATTCTTGTGAAATAATTTTCCTTTTCCCAATTTTCTTATGTTTAAGAAAAAAAAAATGAAAATGATTTTTGTATAATCTTTTTGTTTTATTTTTTTATACAACTTGATATATCATTAAAATGATTGTTTTTTTAATTGATATGGGACATGTAATATTAAATACATCTATTCATTTAATGATATATGAAAATTGTATAAAAATGTGAGACAAAAAAGTTGTCACTATAATACCACCCAAAAAAAATTAATGAACTGCTACACATTATTTGATTTGTACTTTACATTTTTCATTTTATCAACATTCATAAATTAATATGCATTGATTTATGAAATTTTTTAACATATACCCTTAGGGTACATATTAAGGGTATTTTTTTGTAATAA